TCAATAATGTGTAACTAACCTATTCATCAATAATTATGTTTCTGGATTTTTGTGATTTCCACTGAGTAAAAAACAAAACCCCAAGAGAAATTACAATAAAATATTTACATACACTATTTCATTAAATGACATTTGTATAATACATGTATGCAAATTTATTACATTTACATACAGTGGGGAGATTATTTCATCTGTGTTAATGGTGCAAAATATCCTTTTTGAAATTTGCAACTTTTTCCGTCGGGGGGGGCACCCTTTCAATATATAAATAAACCTCCTTTTAAAAAATTGATGTATTTCATGCATTTATAAAATGTGTGCATCTCTTTGTTACTATAGAGTATGGACTGGTTTTTACAGAGGTGACTATATCTGCAAATACCAATTAATTCTGTCAAAAAAAGGCATGTGTTAACCTCTTGGTACAGAAATATAAAACCTTGAATTTGCCCAAACAAGGTTCTGATTCATCTTGAGTCAAACCGGGAGGCCTCTAAAGTGGTCTGAACTGAAAGTCTCCCTTCCTATAGCATTGAAACTGGGCCTCAACCAAGCCTTGTGGTTGCTCTGTGTCACTAATGAGGACAGCCTGAGCAACAAAACAACCGTTTCTTTTCAAAGCTCAAGACCAGTTGCAGGTTCTGAAACCAAAAACAAACCAAAAAGCCCACTGACAATTAAAGCTTAGTTTACATTTGATCAAGCACAAAGATCAATGGTGTGCAAGAAAAGATGTTTTTCCATTATGTAATAGTTTCTTTGCACTTCCCTTCTAATTCATTCTCAGTATCTCCATGCATTTCTTCAGCTTCTATTTAAATTTAACTACTTCTTGGAGAAAAAATGTAGGGGAAATTACAGCATGTGGTTTCTCACTGCCTTCTGCTGTGGTTTCTCACTGCCTTTTGCTACATGCTGCTGAAAGCTCAAGACAAGAAAGTCTTTAAAGAACGTCCTCTGTAAATGCCCGTGATGTTTCTAAGACATGAAGATTCATCAGAAAACTGTTTTCATGGGCTGTTATATATCACTCTGCTATGCTGTCATCTGTTGAACTGCCAATGAAGCCAAACAAATGATACATACAACTGTGACACTCACAATTTGGTCTTACCATCTGTATATTCCAAAAAGGCAAGGATGCTAGTGGGATGACTATACATGGAGCTTTCCTGTGGTCCATGAAATAGTAAGGAAACCTACATGCTCCAAGCTGAATCATTTACTGTATCTCTTTTTACAGATGGTGGAAAGCTCTCTGTAAGTCCAGCACTAGGAATGGTAATTCAAGCGGCAAAATTAAAACATACCAATGGCTCATCTAACATCTTATGGTAAGAGCTTGTAGGAAAAGCTAGGTTTGTAGTGCATTTCTAAAAGCTAGAAGGATTGGGACATCATAATCTTGGAAAGGATGCAGTTCTATAGGTCAGATGGATGTCTAAAAACCTAGGTGGCTTTTTATTTTTACCATGGCTATAACTAGCCAATATCATTTAATGGATGAAGGCATAATAATTTTATCGTCGAATGGCAGCTGTAAACTGAATCTCAGAAACCAGTTCTAACACATAAGTAGAAAAGTCACTTTTATTAACTACAACACATTTATAGAAAGCACATCCATTACATATCTGACAACATCCTACTCTGTCAAAGAATAATTGTTTGATTTAAATAAAATGCTATTCAATCACTGAATGTTACTATTCTCTTGCATAAAAATGTTGCTATCCAGTAAGGAAGATTTTAGGAGATATCCATAACAGAAGATATAAATGAAACACACATTTTAATTTTTTAGATAAGCTGATTTGTTCTCTTTTTTATTTCCACATGAAAGATGAGAATTTGGTTCTTCTAAATTTTTTGAAAAATAGGGAAATTCCAGAAAAAAGTAACTGTGAAAAAATAACAGTTAAGAAAGACATTTGCAGGAATCACAACCACAAATGAAGATTATAGTATTTTATAAAACTATGGGTAATGTGATATTTTTTTCTTCATCAAAGCATGAATGTACAGTACACAACTATTTAAAACAGGCAAGAATATTATTTGGCAATGTGATATGAGAATATAGATATAATGAAAATGGAAAAGTCAGTTATTAACATAGGCAAGCATGTATACCACATAGGTCCATGCATTTGATGATATTTGCACAATATCACATTGGGAAAAAACTATAAAATACATTGGAAATGTTTTGACTTAGGTTGAAAGTTTTTGTAATTGTAATCTTACAGGCTTCAGTAAATGGTGAATTAGAACTAATAATCTCCGCCATGATAGCATTTGTGCAGGAAATCTTCCTCTTGACTAAACATTGATTTCAATATATTTTGAATGCTATAGAGCCCTCAGTATTTTTTTCTTATTAGCCTCCCTAGGCTCTCACTCTTCCATTCAATGAGCTATCATGTGTGCATAGACAATCAGAGAATTTCAGTTTCCTTTCACTTGTCATCATTTATGTTTAGTTCAGCTTATTTCCAGTTTGTTAATTTAGGAAAACAAAATCTCATGTATTTTTTCTTCTAATGTACCCAGTTTTTCAGGTAATTCTTCTAGCACTCATAATTTCTGAACAATCTTTTCATCACAATGCACTTCTGTTCATGTCTTTTCTTAATATATTATTGCAATGTTGGAACAATGCATAGTACTACTTGCAATAATGTTTCAGTTGGGTAGCACTCAAATGATGCAATATGGGATCAAAGGATGCCATGTACAGAGTGCTGTCATACTGCTATGGCTAAACAAATTTATACTTCCAGGTGTACTTCCAAGCTCTTACAGAACTGACTGTGATATAAGCCAGATACATCAGGAACTGCTTTTCTAATCAAACCGCTCCTGGCTTTTGAGAAATCTTAAAGAACTCTGTGTAGTTACATAGAAATGTAAAGATTCAACTACTATCATGGCCACAAACTTAACTACAGTTTATTTCTGGACATTGTGTTCTTTCCTGTTTTTTAAAATATTTTTTTCATTTCTTTAGAAATAAATTCTCAAGAACAGACATAGATTTTACTTTATTGCTTTTGGATTTTAAGATGTTGATATTGGAATTTTGGGTGTTGCATTCATCTCATATGATCAAATTGGCCTCTCTCCAGATCTCTTAATTAGGCAAAGACTCTGAGATACAAGCTCATAGGACTTGATTAGTAAAGATAATTCACCTGTCCCCCTGTTCATTTAGGCATATATTATCAAAACAACTGGTGTACGGCCTCATATTTAACCAATTTAAACCATGGTACTTACCAGATCCTATTGCAAAGATACAGTTAAAGATCTTCCCATCATAGTTTAGAAAGATTCCAGGGCATATCTCTTGTACAAAGAGTCTCACTTATAACAACAGAAGTAGAGTTGGTGCACATACTTTGTGGTTTGTGGATTGTATACTGATCTAAGAGAAAAATTTATGTCTCTGATGGATTGTGCACCTGGATGGTCAGTGAACAGGAGTTTTGGCAACATAAAACTTTTCCAAAAAGATGCCAAGATTATGAGACTGCACAATTTCAAGCTGAATGGGGGAGGAAGGAAGAGTTCAGGGTAGCTACACCCTAGAACACAGGTCGGCAACATGCAGCTCCGGAGCCGCATGCGGCTCTTTGAGTCTTCCCTTGTGGCTCCCAGCCTCCTCTGCCTCTGCAGAGAGAGACAGAGACAGAGAGAGGCAATTGCACTTCTCTGCCTCTCTCTCTGTCTCTCTGTCTCTCTCTGTCTCTCTCTCTCTCTCTCTCTGTGTGTGTATGTGTAAAAGAGAGTGCACTCACAGTGTTCTCTGAGCAGCTGAAAAGCTTACTGGGCGGAGCTCCTCCCTTTGCTGAGTCTCTGCAGGAAGCAGGAAGCAGGAAAGGCAGGAGAGAGCTAGCTAGCCCAGCTAGGCTGACTCAGGAATTCTGGGAGTTGAAGTCCATGAGTCATAAAAGAGACGAGGTTGCCTATTCCTGAGCTTGTAGACAACAGCTTGAAGCTTGCCAGGTGAGCAGCAGATAGGAGAGGGGGGGAGAGAAAGAGAGAGAGAGAGAGAAAGAGAGAGAGAGGGAGGGAGAGAGAGAGAGAGGAAAGAGAGAGAAAGAAAGAGAGTAGGGGAAGAGGAATGGCAGACCAAGGGCAGATAGAGAGGGAGGGAGAGAGAGAGACAGAGAGAGAGAGAGACCCTTTTGACATCTAAAATGAAGATAACACTGCATATATCCTTTTTTTACCTGTGTGGGTGTGTGTGTATGTATGTATGTATGTATGTGTGTGTATACACACACCACACACACACACACATATATATACACACATATATATACACACACACATACATACACACACACAAACACACACACACCTATAATAAAGGTAAAAAAGGATATATGCAGTGTTATCTTCATTTTAGATATCAAAAGGGTTTTGCGGCTCCCGGTGTTTTGTTTTTGGTGGGAAACGGGTCCAAGTGGCTCTTTGAGTGTTTTGGGTTGCATACCCCTGCCCTAGAATCTCTCAGAATATATCTATTTGGTTGGAAGGGTATAGCTTTAGTCTGGCAAGATTCGGTTTATTATGTTTATTAGGCAAATAAAGGACTGAACTGGATTGGACATTGCTATGTCATCTTGGTCTTGAGCCCAACAATGTCCTCTTTATTGGTTTTTCAACCAGGCTTTTTAAACCATGTATAAGTACATTTTATTTTATTTGACCCAAATGTGACTTTGACAGTAGCCAAATTTTTTGCTGCCATGATTAGATGTAGGAAGAAACTATTTGCTAAATAATTTGTTTTCCTTGAAAGGTCAAAATATATGCTGTTTTCTTTCTTTTTTTATTATTCTTAGGTCCCTTGACTATAATAAACTTTCAATCATTCATTTATCTTATATTCGCATTGTGAACTGCAATAGCAGGTAACAGAAAGGGGAGATAACATTTTGAAAAATAATCTGTGGACTAAATATAAATAAATTTCCTGGTGCTAAAGGAAATATCAACCTTATCTCTCTTTTATTGAGAATGTTCAATATTCTCCATTTCCTATAAAACATTCATTCATAAAATACTAATAATTATTTAAAAATGGTAGTATTATCTTTTTACAGGCAGGTAGTTGATTGCTATAAGCATAAGAAACTTTGCCTAGCATGTGCACATTCAGATAGTCACGTGCACACATTCACACACACAAACATTGTTCTATTCTTTTTCTGAGGACCATAAATCCCCCCCAAAAGATGAGAGATATACCATGAGTTGCCAAAACTAGATTACATGATAAATAATGAAAAATAATAAGGAGCTGTAAGGTTCTAAAAAGCTCTTTGCAGATGCAGATCATGTTTTGTTGTGTCATGCTGATTTCTTCAGGGAGTGATTTCCCCATGGCTGCTAGGCAAAGGCCTACTTTGTGAATGATCACACAGGGAAAAGAAAAGTAGCAACAGAGTCACAGTTGCCATAGAGATGGTAAGCTTTTCCACCACTGCATCTTCTATTTTTGCAGAAGATAGGACCACCGTTACAAAAAACCTACAAGGGAAAACAAACAGAAGCAACTGAGTTGTATAGCTTGATCCTAGGCATATTTTCTTTGAAAATAGCTATGGTCAGTTCTGGATGGGATTTCAGCTTATTTCTTGTTAAGCAACCTTATAACCATGCTATTTCTATTCATGGAAAATTCACCAAGTATGACCTAATTTTCCACATATTTTTCCCCTCTCTAACTTGCTTTTCCTTTACTTCCATTTCAGGCCACAGAATTCAACAGGATTAATTCAGAAATCACTGGGCATAAAATAAAATGTTTAGCCTTTATATCAAAAGTATACAGCCTGGAGTTCCAAGGTTGCATACAGACCTAGAAAATCTTGAATTACTACAACTATAATTTGTAAAGTTTCTGAAAATTACTGCCAGTATTAATAACCTATAGTTAAAGTGAAATAACCTCAAATCAACAGTATATTGGACAGAAACCAATATAGTATCTTTCCTGTTCTTGTCCATTTTTTAAACCTCTTTTACAGAGAGTGTATATTGACACATCTCTCAAAGGCCCAGTATAGTCCCAGCTATTTTGCACTTTTAATATTTTCTAGGCTTATTCAGAAAGCAGGTCTACAAATTAGTACCTCCACATAATGATGCAGAAATGTGCAGCAATCTTTGCTTTCTTAGCTTGTTTATTTAGAAGTCAGATATTGTGATCTGTTCAAATCTACTCAGAAATTAGCATCAGGAATTCCCTAGGAGGAATAGGAATGTGTATGTATATATATATAATGTGTGTGTGTGTGTGTGTGTGTGTGTGTGCGTGCATGTGTGTACTGTATTATTCTCCATTCCGTAAAATGTATTTCCAAGCAAGTATGCCTTGACTGCAGCATACTGAATCACAATGAGTTTCACTTTTGTAATACACAACAGACAAAAATCTATAATTTATTTCTGGCCCTTCTCTTTCTCCATTTGTGTTTTCAGAAAGAAAAGACTACAAAAAGAAGAAAAAACCCCTATATTTCATACTTGCATTATCATTATTTTCAAAAAAGAGAAAAAAAATCCAGGGACAAGAACATTAACCACAGTGAAAGCAATTGATGATGAGTTTCACTAGCTTATTCACTCAGTCCCCCAAGCATAATTATGCATGCATTCTCATTAAAGCAATGCATGCCTTTTGGCTTTTGTTGTGTCATCTTATCTTATTTCATTAACAGAGTCATTTCTTTTCCACACTTATGGGCTCTTTCTATCTGCTTGTACTCATAAGAGACAGCACCAAGTTTGCTGCCGAAGTTGGAAGTGCTATGTCCACTGTATAAATGCCAAAAACATCCATTGTTTTCTTTCTTTCTGTTTTTTTCTTTTTGTCTTCTGCATGCACTCAAATCTTTTTGGATGAATCATAAACCAGGCCTCCTACTTTAAACAACTAGCATTTTTTGTATCTGTCATTTAAATAGCTCAAAAAAAGAGAAATATTTCATGGTTCCTCATTACATTGAATTGTAAATAATTATAAATGAAAATTATAAATAATTTTTTTAATGTACCTTAATGTATACATGAATTTTTTTGGAATAGATTAACTTCAGGAGTTAATCTCTTTAAAAAGAGACTGGACAGCCATTTCTCTGAAATGGTAAAGGGTCTCCTGCTTGAGCAAGGGGTTGGACTATAAGACCTCCAAGATTCCTTCCAAGTCAGTTATTCTGTTAGCCTCAACACCAGTTCCAGATCAACATTCCAATTTGGTGCCTAGTAAATTTGGTCATCGTTTCTGATCTGTCTTGAAAACAGAGGTAGTCCTTGAGGAACAAATTCTGAAATTAACTAATCATGATGAAAAAATATTTAAAGATAAATTAAGTTTTAAACAGTATCTTAAATATGACCCAGCAGTGTGCTGCAGCTGCCAAAAACGCCAACACAGTTATAGGCTGCATTAACAGAGGGATAGAATCAAGATTGCATGACATGTTAATATCACTTTATAATGCCTTGGTAAGGCCACGCTTGGAATACTGCATCCAGTTTTGGTCACCATGATATTAAAAAGATGTTGAGACAGAAAGAGTACAGAGAAGAGCAAGAAAGATGATAAGGGGACTGGAAGCCAAAACATATAAAGAACAGTTACTGGAATTGGGTATATCTAGTTTAATGAAAAGAAGTACTAGGGGTGACCTGATAGCAGTGTTCCAATATCTCAGGGGTTGCCACAAAGAAGGGTCAAACTATTTTCCACAGCATTTGAGGGGAGGACAAGAAACAATTGATGGAAGCTAATCAAAGAGAGAAACAACGTAAAACTAAGGAGAAATTTCCTGGCAGTTAGAACAATTAACCAGTGGAACAACTTGCCTCCAGAAGTTGTGAATGCTCCAACACTGGAAGTTTTTAAGAGGATATTGGACAACCATTTGTCTGAAATGGTATAGGGTTTCCAGCCTGAGAAGAGATTTGTACTAGAAGAACTCCAAAATCCCCTCCAACTATTCTATTCTATTCTATTCTATTCTATTCTATTCTATTCTATTCTATTCTATTCTATTCTATTCTATTCTATTATTTCTTTCAAAACTCAGGTAACAGCACAAATGTTTATCTCATTTCTTTTAAGCATAGTCTTAGCTTCAGTTCTGATGTGCCATCTCTTGTGATGTAGACATATTGAAACTTATGCAATAAATCCTTTAACCGCTTAGTACTTACATTTGTCCTGTAGACAGTTACTGCAGAAGTGCCAGGACTTGTTTCTGGGAAAGCAGATAGGTGATTTGTCTAGCACCTGGCTGAGAAGAATTTTTCTCATTCTTTAGCTCCTCTGTGTGCATTACTCCTTGGCAACACACTGGTGGTTCAATGTAAGGGTGAAGGAAAAAAAAAAACAGGGCAGAAAAACAAACTCCACTGCTTTACAAATGAGGAATGTTATAAATAAAATAAAAACAGAAACATAACTTTCTTTTTAGCACAACCCTAGAAGAAAAATGAGATTCCCACCCAGCTTCCTAAAAAAACATGTAATGGGTACCTACAAAGGAAACTGAGGAAATTGTACTTATAAAAAGGCTGCTAGATGAACTAACAGAGTTAAACACTAGAGAAACAAGTTAAAGAGTGTAGAATAGTAGTTATTGAAGTATTGAAGGCGATGGCATATAACTTATACTTATGTTTTTATAGTCAGTCTTGAAGGGAAAAACAGAACATTCTCTAAAAGTTTATAAATGCTAAGAATTTCACATTCTTGACATATTTGCTCGGTAGCATGTCTCTGAGAAGATGTATTCATTTAGTCAAGTATGAGAAGTCTGAACATTTATTTTTGGAAACACTGCTATTAATCATCTCAGCTACTCTGGAGTATTTGTTCTCAGTAGGCATGTGTTAAATCTGCTAGCAATGTTCTGTTTTTACTGTCCCTGATCCTGCCCTGTGAGATTCCACGGAAGACACAAGTATTTTATTGTAATACAGTGGCTGTATGTTACTTGGTTTATCATCAGATTTCTTCAGTTTAAAGCAAGAGTTTACAACCAGAGGCCATAGGATTGCTACTGCTGCTCATATATTTCCATTTCATCATTATTTGGGGAGCTCAAGGTGGTGTCTATAAAATTCCCTTTCATTTTATTCACAATAACAATCTCCAAGGCTGAGAGACAGAGTGATTGACCCCAAATCACCATGGAATGTGGGCGAGTTCCATGTTTTAATGAGGACTCAGTCAATAATCTCCTTTGATCTAGTCCAAGGTATTAACTGTTGTATTAATGTTTAAATTATCAAACTGACTGTCTATGGAGATTCTCAGTCATATGGGTCATGGTTGTCCAAAAAGTGCTTTTTCAAAAGATAACTGGACTTTCTTTGTTTTTCCTGAAGACATTTTGCTGAAGCTTCTTCAGTACTGACTGAAAGGACTGTGAGAAATATAAATCCTTCCATTCTCCACTATTCAGATAGAACTGAAGAAGTTTTTTGGATGAGAAGCAAAATGTCTTCAAGGAAAAACAAAGAAAGTCCAGTTGCCTTTTGAAAAAGCACCTTTGGGATTATAAAACTAACTGTATTTTTTGGTATCTAGTCCATTTGGAACCTTCATCCCAAAAATGTTTATAATGTCCTACTTTGTAAGGCAATATTCAAATCATTTTATAAATGCCATGTTGAGCTACAGGTGCACAGTGTCATGGGCTATGTCATTTGGAAACTACCGTAAGTGATTGCAAACAACAATTTTTTGAATTTCAATAATAATTTAAGTCAGCATCTCCATTTCTGAAATCTCTTTAGCTTAGATATTCTTCATGAGGACATTGCTTTTAAAACAATTAAATGAAGACAGAAAAATAATTCTTAAAATTAGTGTATATTAATTATTCATTCTAAAAGTGTAAAATATACAAGACTTATATGTGTTTATAGGTAATAGCTTTGTTATGTTCATTATAAAAAATTATTTTAATTACAAGAGCAGATCTGACAGTAAGGCTTGCCAAGGAGTGAAAACAATGTGTACAAATTGTTTTGTCTTCAAAGAACTGTTCAGATATGCAGTACCGAGGGTCAGCATTTCATAAAGAGGGTAATCAGCATTTACCCTTTCAGGAACAATCTTGCTTTTATTCTGGGAAGACAGCCAAATGACAAGTTATAGAGATTGTCTATAACTCAATGGGACAAAGGATAAAAGAAAGAAGACCACTCCACATCTTGTTAATGCAGAGTTAATGTAAACTGTGCTTGGTACACCTTACTCTTTAATAAGTCAATCTAGAGTTAGCTGAGTTTTGTGAAGATTTGTCCTTTATGAAGCAGCTTTCTAAAGTAGAAACCATCTGACAGTGTATTATAGTTTACAACTCTCAGCTGAAAATAGGACATTGTGGTTTAAAGTAAATATTTAGAATTACTCAAGCTTACTATTATGGGTCTGAAGTAAAGTTCAGTAATGTTATGACTGGAACTACACCCATATTTCTGAAGATCTTGAAGTACTCTCTTGAAATAGTTCCCACAATTCACAGGGCATTAGAATGTATTTTACTTTAAAAATGTTCATGCTTTCCAAATATGCCCAAATTAAAACATATATTTATCATTATTTTGTTCATTAAAAACATGTTGAATATAATCCTTGTCTTATCTGGTCCTATATCTGTAAAACTCTATAAATATCCTTTCTTGATGTGGTAAGAAATGTTGGTACTCATTCGTTGCTATGTATGGGTTAAATTCACTAGATCATTCTGGATATCTATATGAGGTGAAATAACAAAATCCAAATAATATGTTTTTAGCAATTAGGTAAACTGTAAACTATAAAACCACCATTGTCTGTTTTTTTTTTGGCCTGTTGATCTATTATGTTAACACAAGGCATTTCATTTTGGTTTTTTACTTTTCCTCCAGAACCTGAAGGACTTTTTATCATGAACAAACTTTATGTTATCAGGACTCACATCAATGAAACTTCATTCTAACTGGCTATGCCTAGGGCTGACTTCCCCATAAAGATATCACTTGTCTCTAACAGAAGAACTTGGATGGAAGGCAGGTAGCAGAAGCATTGTGGAAGTATCTTTTTCAGTAACAACTTGCTCTTCTCTCCAGGCTAGCCTGTTCTCTTCCATTTGATCATGTATCAAATTTAATCCAACTAAATACCAAATAGGAGAAGATGCAATCTTGTTCTTCTTAGGCAACAAGTACCAGGATCAGCTCTACCTCACCATGTAACAGTAGGGGATCTTGAATATGAAATATCATACATACATATAAATATCATAACATACAAAAGTAGTTTCACTACCCTGCGATGAAAGGGAGATCATTAGAAGTTAACCCAGTTCAAAATAATTCTGTTTGTAATAGCAGGATAAAAAAAGGTGGTAGACATCACTCCCTATGAGTTGGAAGATACTTGTACCTGAAAGGAAAGTACTATGGGCTGGAAAAATGGTTCAACTTTCTACAGCAGTAGAATAATCAGTTCTCAATGCATGAATCTAAAATTTATTAAAGTACAATATTTGACTTCAATTTGTTATTTTTATCTATTAACATTAATATTGCCATTTTGTTCACTACTATTTTATTCACATCCATCTATTTTGATAGTATGCATAACATAAAGTTTTCCCTTGTGGCAGATAAGCTAATGATGATTCATTTTGCACTAATAGAGCTGTGATTTTTAGATTTTGTAAATGTTTATTCAATTTTATTTTAAGAAAATATTTTAAGATGTGCTAGGCATCTCCTCTGGTTTACACATATTTTCTCTTTTGCCCACCTATGTATTATTATTATTAATAATAATAATGATGATGATGATGTTGGAAGGGACTTTGGAGGCATCTAGTCCAACACCCTGCCAGGCAGGAGGCAACCTGATTATATGATTATAGAATGGAACTCATCATTGCATGAATTATGGGCTTATATTACATAGTTTCTTTTCAAATTCTCATGCATTTTCTTGCTATGTCCTTACTGGCCTCCCTCAAATGGAATAGAGGGGAGAGATAAATGTTCAGAGGAAAAACAATATTCAAATCATAATGCCATATACATTTAAATTTCTTCTTTAATATGTTTTAATAACAGGAACAATATTAGCTCATAATAATCAGTTCTTGATCCTGGGATGAGTATTTTAAGTGATCCAGTCCATACAGAGAAAATTATCTTTGAATACAGAATTCTTTGAAGACAGAATTATTAATCACTTTTATAGATGAAAAAAAAATACTCTATTTTGGTTACAATGGCCAGGTCACACAATAGGAAAGCAAATGACCATGCCCAATATTAGTTAATAGCCTTCAATGTCTAATGATACAACTTCTGGGGATTGGGAACCAAGTAACAATGTAGTTTTCTTTACACATTTGTGACTTGACCTCAAATTTCTGAATGGCCTTCTCTTCACTGCAATTGCCATTTTCCATTTCTTCCAAACATAACTGGCTGTTGTTTAGACCTTTCAGGAAATGGTTAATTCCCCTGTCTTCTGACTCTGCAAAACTTCAATGAAAACATTGCATGACCTTGGAAAATCTTATTGCTTGAGTGCTTAGTATGTATACAAACTGTCTTAGATTATATGCCCCAGAGATTCTTAAATAAGAAAAAACAAACATTTGATTAGCTTCTTGTAGTAGTCTTGTGTTGCTTTTTCCAGTGTAGATCCTTCCCAATCCAATTACTTGCAATTCTCGTAATTTACCTATAAGGATTGGCTTTCCGTATTATTTCAGGTGTGGACTGAATTACTTCTACTTGTTGTTTTGGAACCATAATGCATGTGGAACAGTAACTATAATTTCCTCTACCATGATTAGTATAGAAACATTACTGTCATTTATTCCTTTTTTAAAATTCTAGCCTGCTCATTATTTATCACAGGTACATTTTTGGCGAGATAAAGAAAACAGGACAGAAAAGAGAGTGAGGGAGAATATTTCCTGTATCCAATTCTTATAAAAGAAAAAGTCAAGACAAAAAATATTAGCGTAAATGCTACTAAAATAGTTTTCCCCATTTTTTAGGATATCTGTTCCACTTTCTCTAGTGTATAAGTGGTTTTGATTGGAGCATCCTGATCACTGTTTACACTAATCCAAAGATACAGATTAGTTGTCAATATTAACTGAATAGCCATTGTAAAAGTAAAACAAATAAAAACAGAAGCATTTCCTTACATTTTCAAGCTTACTATAATATGATATTGCTCTATTAATTTAATCAGAGCATATAAAACTGCAGCAACAAAAATATCTTCAAGAACTGTAAAAGTTCTAGTATTCTTTCCAAGTTTCAGCTCTGGGTATCCTAGTCAGATGTCTGTCTCCTATTTATGTTGTTTTGCTCCAGCATTTGGAAAACAACCCTTGAAGGAAATGTGTTACCTCTTAAGCTGAAGGAGTCGGTAAATTACTGAATGCAGCTCTTGTCCAATAGGTTTCAAAAAGAGCAATAGTGCTTTTGGATGGCACCTCTGTAGCCCAGTCTGATCTTGGGACAGAGAAGCCTTATTATTAAGTTTCTCATACTTTGCTCTGCTATGTTTCAAATGGATACTGTGTGCTAAATTGGGATCTATTTAAATAATAGCCTAATGGTAATGACAAAAGACATCTATTACCATCAGGCTATTATTTAAATAGATAGTTACATATTCAAATATTATACAGACCTGTATCTTATATTATCTTCTCTTTTTTTGGGGGGGTAGTGCACAGCTAGCTGTTAATCAAAACAAATTTCTATTTAAAGGAAGGAAAGAAAGAAAGAAAGAAAGAAAGAAAGAAAGAAAGAAAGAAAGAAAGAAAGAAAGAAAGAAGGAAAATTCTCTACTCTAGGTCCTATGAGGACATTTTTCAGAGAAAAAAACTTTCTATAACTTGTTTAGAAAATGCCCTACACCTACAGTAATACATAAAAGAGGGTTTAGTGTTTTAAAACTTCAACTATTTCTTTAGACAAACATGGAATGGGAATTGGACTACAGCAAATCACATTCCCAATTATAGCAAGAGAGGAATTTTTAAATACTTTTAGTACAATCCAAAGCATGTAAACTCAGTAAGGTAATTTCAGTTCAATGGGATTCACTCCCAGGTAATTATGCTACTGGGGATTAAAACTATCATTTCTTTTTCTAACAGAAAGTTAATTCAGTGGCAGCATGTTTGCTTTGCA